ATAGTTGGGCTATTATTTCTGGGATCTTCAGGTCCATCATACTCTGTTCCTCTTCTTAAGATAACAGCATTTGCATGTCCTTTGGGATTAGGTTGAGGCTGTCTAGGAAATGAGCCAGCAGGAGCAGCAGAAGCCGCTTGTTGTTGAGCTACTTGAGAGATTTGTGTTTCTAACATTTTATTATGCGTAGCTAAAGCGTCAAGCTTGTTAGATAATTGCTTCATCTGCTCATTAATGTGTATATTCTGATTTTGAACCTCCTTATTAGTCTGGGATTGAGCATTATTGGTTTGGTTTTGAGTAGCGATGTAGTGCTCTATCATGACTTCCAAATTAGACTTCCTAGGAGCATTAGACGTGTTAGGACCATTATTAGGATGATTTGGGATAGCCTTAGGATAACCAGGTGGTGTAGCAGGAGCTTGTCCAGGTGCGTATAACGCGTTGTTATTCTTGTATGAAAAATTAGGATGATTCTTCCAGCCAGGGTTATATGTGTTGCTGTAAGGATTACCCTGTACGTAATGTTCAACTGGAACTCCTGTTAAAAGTGGGCATTCTGGAGCAAGATGTGATTGAATACCACATAAGTCGCAAGTTTGAGCAATTGCGGCAACAGTAGCTGCGGGAGTGGTGGTAAGATTCTCGAGCTTTTGAGTGAGAGCTTCCACTTTAGCGTTGACTTCATCCAGACTATTCACTTCAACCATGGCACCTTTTGTTTGAGATTTCTCTACGCTAACTCTCTCCGTACCCCACTGGTAATGGTTTTGAGCCATGCTTTCGATAAGTTGTCTTGCTTCAGTATATGGTTTATTCATCAGTGCGCCACCAGCTGCGGCGTCTATAGTCAATCTCGTATTATACAAGAGACCATTGTAGAACGTGTGAATGATCAGCCATTCTTCTAAACCATGATGAGGACAGAGTCTAAGCATGTCCTTATAACGTTCCCAAGCTTCAAAGAGTGATTCATTGTCTTTTTGTCTGAAACCATTGATATTGGCTCTGAGCATGGCAGTTTTGCTTGGAGGAAAATATCTAGCCAAGAAGACTTTCTTCAACTCATCCCATGTGGTGATTGAGTTGGAAGGAAGAGATTGGAGCCATGCGCGAGCTCTGTCTCTGAGAGAAAAAGGGAATAGGCGCAATCGTATCGCCTCGGGGTTAACACCATTCGCTTTTACAGTGTCTGCGTACTGCACAAACACTGACAGATGAAGATTCGGGTCGTCAATGGGAGCTCCAGAAAACTGGTTCTGCTGAACGGCGGAAAGAAGCGAAGGTTTTAGCTCGAAATCGTTTCGAGCGATAGCAGGAGCAGCAATACTATTGTGAGGCTCTGCTTGAGAAGGAACAGCGTAGTCCTTAAGAGGACGAGGAGCAGGAGCATCAGGATCAGCCATCTTCTTGAGTTCTTCAACGTCAGGAAGTTTGGTCGGAGGAAGGTTGTTGCGTTCTAAATACTCTTGAATTCGTCTCCTTAATCTAAGGTAACGCTCGATATCGTATATAGGTATATGCAAAGGCGCGCCTTGAGAGCGATTATTTGGCATACACAGAGGGAAAAGAAATAGTTGCTATAGTCTATACTTCGTAATAAAATTACGATATCGACTTAAATAGTCCCCGGCAACGGCGCCAAAAACTTGATCGCGACTTTATCGTCTAAATTAATCGGGAGACTACAAGTATACAACCCTATCGCGTAGTTTTAAAAGATATCGAACCTAAGGGACTATAAATCGAACTAACGTAACCTAAACTACTGTGTAAAGCTATAGCTATCGAATAATTAAATTGGGGAATTTTCGGGTAATAAAACTTAATTCTAATTGAAATAATAATAATGCGAATATCGGTATGTACGTCGTTAACACTAAAGAATCCGGCTTTCTACAGGCTCATTTTCTAAAAGTGATAATAATATCTTTTTCAGCAAAAAGTATTTATTCAAAAATCTATTCTCAAACTTTCACTCTATTGAAGTAAATTATAATTTTAAACTCTGATGTATGCTTTCGCTATCCCATTGATTTTAAAATTACTTTTTGAAAATAAATAAAGTTTAATTGGTTTTAAAACGCTGTCGCAGTCTTTAAAAACAATACCTAGCATCTACTATCTGATTCTAAACCTCAAGCTGTCGCTCTGTTGGTTTCTAATCTTAGTCGGTTTATTAACCTCAAACTGTCGCTCTGTTGGTTTCTAAACCTTTTTAACAAAATAAACTAGATAACTAAATCAGAAAAAGTGTTTATTTTATGAAATATAATCAAGCCTGTTTATTCCGGATCCATTCGAATTAACTCGTTACATACCGATATTTAATTAATTTAGCCAGACATACTCAGAAAAACGGACATGGATACATTAAAGGAATTAATAATCATAAATAATTTCATGGATAAAATAAATATTCTCATGCAAATAATTAATTAATTGATATAAATAAAGAACCTGAATTAAATAATGCTGGAAACAATCTTTGAAGCTTGAATCAATCCGTACAGAATCTTCGTTCTTCAACGGGAGTAAATTCTAAGTATTCGAAAGGAAAAGAAAATTGGCTGGAAATATAACTACTAGGAATCGAATTACACAGGAAACTAGTAAATTGCAATGAAAGTAAAATTCTGAAAACTGGAAAAAATTCTAAGCAAAAATGGTCCCAATTTTCACTTTCTAATGTCTTCTTATAGTCCTTGGACGTAACCACCTCTTCAGATATTTTCGTGTCCCACGTATCCTTGAATTTCTCTTCTTACTTTGCCCACGTTGAGACAGGCGCCCCAATTGACTTTTTCTTCCTTTGACTATGCTGAGACGGGCGCCTCCCACTAAGGGGAAAATCCGAGGCGGGCGCCTCAATTGTAGGAAGAGAGTTGAGACGTGCGTCTCACTCTTGCATGCGCTTTTAGGTTTTTCTTGCTACGTGGGTTTGAACTCTATTGGGCCCGTTTGGAGATAATAGACCCCTTTTGATCCATCAAAACTGCTTTGCACACCCCTTCTCTTCATTTCTTGCACCTTTAGTCCAATAAACCTTGAATTTCTTCACTTTGCTCAATTTGTCTAATTAAAATAAAATACCTGAAACAATAGAAATATCGGCGTAATATGGAAATAAAATGGAATAATTAGATAAAAATACTAACATTACCTATGAAAATTAAATCAAATATACTATATAAAATTGCGTTATCAATCTCTCGAACTTAAGATTAGAAGCCTTGATACTTGGGGACCTTGTTGTTATTTTGTCTGAAGTTCTTGTGGTTTACTTCAAGGCACTGGGTTGAGTTTTTTGTGTGTGGGTTATTATGATTTTATGCTTTGTCTGTGATTGATAATTCCTGTGTATAGAGCCGTTACTCTGCCCAATTTTTGTGAAGACTTAATTCATTTGAATTTTGTGTGTGGGTTATTCTGATTTTAAGATAGTCCCTTCATCTCCTCCCATCTTCTTTAATTTCAAAAAACCTTCTCCTTCCTTTTCAAAATCTTCTTGTTTTCTAACTTGAACCGTTTTCATAATAAACTTGGACTTAGGTTCATGCATTTTCAAAAATATTTTCTTAATTAAACTTTAATCAATTTAATCATACTTTGACATCTTTCTCAAGACTAAAAGTCAATTAACCTCATTCGAACTATTTTTCCACTTTGGCTTTTTACTTTTAAACGTTTCTCTAAAGATTAGACTCTTGCCGATTCTTGTAGTGATGCGAGCTATTATACTTCTACGATATATAGTGTAGTGGGATATTTTATACTTGGGTGTTGAGTGAGGCTTTGTTGATTTTAAAATCTAAGTTATATCCTCCACTTTGAGATGATGCAAAATTCTTCTTTCTCATAATCATGGGTAGTAAGTATGTTTTCCACTCGGATATGATGATGACGTCTCTTCCTCTTAAAATTAACCAACAAATATGTGTTTTGAAATTTTCGAGGTGAACTACGAGTACCCTGATCTCCTATTGCACGGAAGGTGGTACGTAGGCACTAAATATTCGCAACCGCGACAGGTACAAAATTGTTAAAAATACTTATTTTCTCATCTCCACCATCTTCTTTTGTATACACCTTTTATAGAAAAAAAATACACATATTTTCAAAGAGGTTCTTGCGGAATATAGTAGATGTTTAGGGTGATAATACCTTCCCTTTGTGTAACCAACCCCCGTACCTAGATTCTCTCCCCCTCTTTTTTTGGGTTTATTCGCTCATTTACCATTTCCTTTGGAAACAATATAGCGCGGTTGCAATTTTTATTTGATTTGTACGAGTTAAGTCAATCCAATGGCTTAGTCTCAACATTTTTACCGCTACCGAAAACAGGCGACTTCACTGGGGAGAATTTCATCTCTAAGTGAGTTGAGCCTATCTTTGTTTATTTGTGTATATGATTTTATTTGTTGTATATTATTTGTTGTATATATTTATGTCCTGATTTTTCTAGTTTTCAAGGTGCTTGGTGATTTCTTATAAGTCTTATACCCGGACTTGGGCAAACTTAAGATATGACGGGCGGTATAGTCATGTTAACTTTGAGGGAGTAATTCTGAAAAAGGGGACATGAGATTCTCCACTCAGTGGAGGCCCATTTGACTGTAGTATTTGTTTACTGATCAATCAGGAAGACATTGCTGCTTTCGACCTGGGAGCCCATGAAGCTGAGAAGCCATAGAACCCTTAAGCCATCTTGGCCTTTTAGGTTTAGTGCAGAGACTATAACATAGTAATATGGACTTAGTTGTCACGCGATGCTGCACTCATGCAAATTTTTCCTGAGAATATTGCTAATTACCGAGCTAATCGGGACGCTGGTAATATCCGAAGGAAGAATGTAGACTCTATGATTTCCTTAGAACCTTGTTCGGAAAGAGATAAACCATTATTCCTTACCTTGTGGGTAGTACTTTTAAATTCGTACTTGTGACATCGAACATGTGAACCCCCATGTTTGTGATCTTGTGTGTGATTGATGCATCATCATGCATTCATGCACCCATGAGCATTATTTAAACGTTTTTTCAAGGAACTTAAGGTTGACTTTTGCAAATACCTTAGGTACTCTTTTGACCATGGATTTTGGAATGAGAAAGACTCAGAAGTATAGTTTCAAGGATCCTAAGATAGAGGAACTGATGAGTTTGATTCCTGAGATTGAGAGTTCTACAAATTTCTTGAAGAAGTATAGAGTCGTTGTGCCTTTTATGAAGCTCAAGATGAAGGAGGGTATTCTTTCCACATTGGTCCAGTTTTATGATCCTTTATATCAGTGTTTTACTTTTCCTGATTATCACTTGATGCCCACATTGGAGAAGTATTCTTTCTTACTTTGTTTACCTATTACTAATCGTGTTCCTTTCACCGGGTTAGAAGGAGAGAACAATTCTCATTATATTTCCACCATAACTCACTTGAGGAAGTATGATATTGAGGCTAACATGACTACCAAAGAAGGAATCATGGGTTTACCTGCTCAAATTCTATTGGAGAAAGCTCGTCACTTTATCAAGGTGAAGAGTACAACTGCTTTTGAGGCTATATTTGCTTTGCTTGTCTATGCGTTGTTCTTATTTCCTAACATCAACAAATTTGTAGATGTTAATTCCATTAGGATCTTTCTGATTGGGAATCCAATCCGTACGCTTCTAGGACATACTTATTATTCTATCCGTCATCGAAATTTCCAACAAGAATGGATGATCATTTCTTGCACACCATTGTTATATCAATGGTTTATGTCTCACTTACCTTAATCTGTTACTTTTTGGGATATCAAGAAGGAACCGCATTTGGCCCCGAAGATTATGGCTCTCACTCATTCTGACATTGATTGGTATCATCAAGCTTATTATCATGTGAAGATTATTGATAGTTGTGGTGTTTTTCCCAATGTACTTCTTCTTGGTACAAAGGGAGGAATTAACTACAATCATATTCTTGAACATCGCCAACTTGGATATCCAATAAGAGACAAGTCAAATAAAATTCATCTGAGTGGTTTCTTTCTCAAAGAAGGAGAAGATCACAAGGTAGCTAAGGAAGAGATTGAAAATCTTGGTGCCATATTCATAGGAAGGGTAAAAAATATTTGGAACCAAGAGAAGTTATTTTCTTAGAGCCTCATCTCCGTTGGATACTGAAACAACCGGCTGAAAATAATCAAACAGTAAAGTTTCCATCGAACGTCTTTTATCCCACATGAAGGGAAAGGTAAACATCGAGAAAACCTGAGAAGGGAGAAGTCACGGTCTTGCGACTGAGAGATCGGGTAAGGGAGTCTGTTACACAAGGGGGAGGTATTAGCACCCCACACGCTTGTAGTACTTTATGATGTCCAATCTTGTTATCTATGTTATGGATGTGTCAAATATATGCTTACTGCTTATTACTGAGAAAAAATGCATGCAAAATAAAGGATAAAATAATGTAGGGAAAATAAAGTTATGCTCGCTTGGGCCCTACCCCAATGCCTACATATCTTTTTTGAGGAATCACAGTTACCGTAGTTTGTCTCACATGTTTTTGTTTGTTTTGTATTTTTCATGAAAAATGTTAATTCCGCCTTCTGTCGCAACTCGACCTTTGGAGACTCACGCGTTGGCACAGAAGTAAACTAACATGTCCTTACCTGAAAATGGTTTTGAGTTACGCCCTCAAGGAAAGATGCCACATTTGATTGGTTTGTGTTTTATTACCTTGAAAAGGGTTTTCACATTATTAGAGTGCTTTTGATTTGCTAAGAAAAAGAAAGTTTTAGTTTTAGATGCATATTCAAAAAGGGAAGAAAAGAGTCTACGGGAGACTAGCATATTTCTAATCCTAATCTTATCATACAATGGTGGTTCTAAGGTTTAGATTAACAAAATGGAAACGTCTACCTAATGTTGGCATGCATGACTTGCAACGTAAGGTCTAACATGCATCCGAAAGGAACAAGCACATCCTAAGGGAACATGTTAGAGAAAGCGAGTAAACGAACATACTCGAAAGAGCACACACATGAAACGGTAAAGAAAAGAAGCGAAATGCTTTAGCCAAGGGGAGTGTATCACCCAAGACAAACAAGCGGGAGTAAAAAATTAAAAGAAGATAAATGCTTTAGCTAAGGGGAGCGAATCAACCGAAGCAAACAAGCGGGAATAGGATGTAAAACAAAAATGTGATGTCCAAAGCGACTGATCACCTAACCAAGATATAGAAGATCGAGGTAGGAGACATAAGGCAATATGAACAATCACGGAGTGTCAGTATCAGCCAATGCAAACTCCTGGCAAGGTGTGGGGGTTCGATTACAAAACCATTTCCACTTGACATCTCGATAATAAGAGTAGGCACAACTCCGAAGCATCCTTTTCTACTTGACGAGCTAAGAATAACACAGACAAAATTTTGGGGGTTGATTACTAACCCCTTCCCGCTCGCCTCATTTTGAGGACTTATTATTTGTAACACATGAGAGTAAAAATGTAAACACAACTGCAAAATACCTACACAAATTTAGGGTTTTAAACAAACCACACACAAGTAGCACACAATGGCAAACAATGCGGAATTGCCCTAAACGGGTCTTTAAATAAACCAGAGGGGTCCCTGAAATAATCTGCAACAAAGACCCCTATAATACATCTATATTCCTACTTCTCATGGCATCGAAAAAGCAGTAAAGCCCTACTTCTCATGATCTCTAGAAAAGCGGTAAAGAAATATTGTAAAGTGCGGAGAAATATGAAAGTAGTAGCGGAGACTACCAAAAGCAAGTGAATCATCGAAAGCGGGCGAAAGCAATGGAGAAGCAAGGAGTATGCATCGAGCAAGCTTCACCAAGAAACAAACAAAGTCAGAAATGATATCCAACTAAGATAAAAGCAAACACGTGTTGCAAATTCAACACATAATCAAAATTTCCTGCACAAAGTAACACAAAATATTATATGTATCTGGATAACATATAATATGATATGAATTTCTCAGGACGATGAGAAATAAGGTGTGTCGCATCAGAAGCGAGCATAAGAAATATGATTCGATCACATAACAACTTGTTATGTTACGTGATCGAAAGCATAAAAAATGTACCTTGCACAATGAACAAACGCGTCAAAAATAATGTGGCACAATGGTATTAAAATATGAGTAAAAACTAAAAGAAAAAGTATTTTTTTATTAGTTTTTTATGTGTGGAGAAATTCCATAAAAAAAACTAAGGAATTAATTCCTAAAATCATTTAAGAATTTTCAAAAAATTTTATTGAGTTTATACTTTCTTATCATAACAAAAATTAGAAAAAATTAAGATAAAAGGAGTCATAAATCTTATGAAGGAAATAAGAATAACATGGGGTGTATGCTGGAATCCAGGGGTGCAATGCAGTCTGGGAGCTAGGCTCACTTGATTGAGTCCAATAGCAGTTTTTTTGTTTTGTTTTTGTTATCAAGCTTCCCAAAAAGTGCAATGGGCTCAAGGCAAGGGAGTGTAGGTAGAAATCAGGCGCAGGCCCAGCAAGCCTAATCCAGGGGCTGTTTTTTGAACTGGCGTAATTGGATCAACAAAAAAAGTGGCATGGGCTTATAAAGGTGGGCTGGTAGCAATTCAGGTCCAATCCACTTATTCAAAAAAATTTATTCAGATTTAATTTCTTTGTTTTATTAACAGTAATAATAAAAAAGAGAAACATTATGATGCAGATAACGAAGTCATTTTGGTAGAGAAGGACTAGGGTTAAGATAAGTGTATTTCTAGCTTCTCAAGAAACGATATGCTCTTCTTCTTCGTTCAAATCGCGACGGCCCCAACCTCCCCTCCGTCTTGCTCTGTCTCATCCTCATCTTCTCAGATCGAACGACGGCTCAAATTCCTCAAACCTCCTTCTCTGGTCTACAAATGAAGCGTCGCTGCTACTTTTTCTTCTCTCATCACATCTTCGTTCGATTCGTCCTCATCTCTATCTACCGGCTCACTCAAACACCGTGCTTCATCTCTCCGATCGCGATCTTCTTCTCATTCGATTTCAACTCAAATTCACATATTCAAAAAATATCTAAGTCACAGCTAACAATCGTTCAATCCAATTTCGTGCGAGATGATGAAAGTAAGAGATTTAGAGTTACCTATTAGAGATCGTTCGATGCGATTTCGACGACGGTGATGAGGAAATAGAAAAAACAGATTAACAACGGCGATAAGAATTAGAAAACCAAAAAATCAGAGGTGAGGTAATATGATTCCTTATTGCTCTTCTTTATCTTTCTTCGGGTAATTCTTCTTCCCCTTTGTGATTGTTTCTGTTTGCGAATTCGGTGCATGTTGTTGTTATGGTAAGAATACGAAGAAGAAGGTTGATGTTGTTGTGAATTGTGATGTTACAGGTGATGATAATGGATGATTTTCAGAGAAGTGTTGCGGTTGAGAAATAATGAAGCATGAAGCGATGGAGAATGGGGATTCTGGGAGATAACCACAGTGAAAATCAAGAACATACGATAAGGAATCGCAGAGAGAGAATGGAGAATTGCAGAGAGAGAATTGAGATTGAGAGTGACGGTTGAAGATGGAAGAGAGAGAGAGAGAGCATAAAGAGATTTGAGGTTGATGGTTATTCTCCAATTTTCACCACCAATGCAATCTCAGGTATATTTGAATTTTATATTCTGTTAGAATTTTTCTAGTGAATGAATCCCTCCTCTTCTGAATCTGTTATATCTATTAGGAAGTTGGTTAGAAAACAGTTAGGAAGTTTGTTAGACTTAGTTTAGGTTGATGTTAGTTAGAGAGTTAGAAATCTGTTAGATCAAAAAAAGTTAGTTATTACTCAGTTGGAAGTTAGTTAACTCTGTTATGTTAAGTTTTATTTTCTGTTTTTATTTCTTCTCTGATTTAATGCTGCCAAATATTTATGCAGGTCTGGTTTATGATTGATATTGCCTAGCCTTTGCGAAATTGAAATTGTGTGAGAATGGATATGGTCAGAGTGGAGAAAAGACAAGAAAGGAGTTCGTCAAAATCATCGTTAATGGAGTCTGCATTGTCACCGTTAACAACATCAGCATCCAAAAACCTATCAAGTTTGTGACCTTTGATTACAGGTTCCATGAATTGACGTCGTGTCAAGAAGTTTTCTTGGTTTAGTTTGACAGAAACATAGTTCTTGTAGATAGAAATAGGTGGCGGGGGAAGAAAGGTAAGAAATGAGATAGTGGTGGATGTTTTCGGATTCTGGAAGGGTTTGCATGGTGATAATATAGACATGGTTTGGAAGTTTGGATTAGCAAAAGAGTGTTTTGATGAGGACGAGAAAATGGGAGAAAGTGAAAGAAAGTTGAGAGTACTCTTCATAGTGTGAAAATTGTTATTTGAATGTGATTTTGTGTAGTTTATTGTAAAGAATTTATAATGAACTCGTGTTGTTTGTAATGAAATTTAATAGATTTTGAAATGAATCATCTTTGTACTTTAACTTGTAATTCACCAAGGATTAGAAATGATTAATGGTGTTTGGATTCATGATGGTTATGGTGTAACGACCGTGGTGTTTCATAATTGAAATGGAAATGAATTTGAATATTTTTTAATGAAGTCTAAGGATGAATTAGTTTGATTTGGATATTATTGCTTCTTGAATTTCGAATGAACTCCACTTGAATGAATCACATCTAGAATCACAACATGAGTATTGTCAAATGAATTTTATGAACTTAGAACCAACAACAATGTTGAATGGTATTGAAAGTGATAACCTAAATCATTCCTTGAATGATCTAGGATATGTTGAATCCCTAATGCGTTAGCCCTTGTATTTGTGTATACTCTCCGTAAGAAATGCATTCAAAACCAACTTGCATTCCATGCTCGCATATCATTAGAAACCCTAATCCCACGTTTGAATTTGCAATGATAATGCCTTAATTGTTGAGCAACAAGACCTTCGAACAAAGCATCTTGAATCGTGACATAGGAAACCCTAAATTGATTAATTGATGAATAGATGAATCCAATGTAACAATACCATAGTCATTATCCTTGACCAAATGATAAGCACACTCTTGATTTCTTGACAATAAAACCTTGTAACCTGATGAAGATAATAACCTTGTGGCTTAATGAGAGAAAGAAGTTCTCAATGATCATGAACACAAAATTCTAGCTTTAAACTCTGATTGATGAAGAAACTAGTTTATTCAAGCTCTATATACTCTCATTATTTCAGACATAACAAGACACGAAAAAACCTTGCATAAGATCACCATTCCAAAAATATCAAAACTAGGGCATATCGAAACCCTACCTTGCAGCCTCCCTCAAGGCCAAATACTTATCCCATTCACTTCCAAAAGAACTGTAGGGTAAGAATGTATCAGCTTTAAAGATCCAAAGGGCCTAAAACCCTCGTATATGCTTCGTCGGTTTCCAATATTGCATGACATTCATATTTTTGTTTTCTTTGCATTTTGATGCATACTAACCTTACTAATATGTTGTTGAGATATCAATGTGCAGGATGAGACTATCGCATGGTCCCCATAATGGCTGAATCAAGTTTGGCCATGTTTTCACCGTTTGAGGTTGTTCACATTGTATCTCACAATACAACAAGATTTAGCGTAAACTAAGAGTTCCATTGAAATCGCAAGGCACAAATTAGGGGGTAGGATACCACTGAGTCATTAAATTTTGCTATTTTTGTAGGATTGAAGAACAAGCTTGCCGGAGAAGACGACCGGAGCTAGGGCTCCGACGCTTCTTCGGCCTAATGGTTTTTGTTTATTATTTATTTAATTGTTTTCACTTAGGTACCGGATGACTCAGACACCCTAGTGGCAAGGAAGCGTGCGTTAAGGCATTTGTGTACAAGGATGCAAGTTCGATCCTGCCTTTTGGCATTTTATTTCAAATTTTCCATATTTTGCAGGTTTTAACATATAGAGCGCTGACAGGACAGGTAGTGGAAAAGGCTAAGGGCGTGGGTTCAACACTCACCCCTGGCATTTTGCTTGATTTTGTTTCTAACTTGTTTTTTCTTAACCCTACTTTTGGTTAACCCTAATTCTTTTGGCAAACTTAATCTTTTTTTTTAATTAACAAACAAAAACTTTTTTTTTGTAAAACCTAATTAATTAGGTTTTTAGGTTTTAATTAATTTTTTTAATTAACTATTTTTTAATTAAAATTAATTAGGTTTTTAGGTTTTCAATTTTTTTAACTAACTCTTTTATTAATTAAAATTAATTAGGTTTTTAGGGTTTCTTAATTATCATTCTTTTCATAAAATAATAATTAAAAATATTTTCCTTTTCTATTTTTATCTTACTTTTATATTTATTTGATCGACTGTATAAGTTTCGCGAATGTAATAGTCTAGATTTTATTTTTCGCTCTCTTTTATTATCATGTAATTGTTCTGGGATGTAGTAGTTGTAGGTTTTAATTTCCGTATTTTATTTTCTCGTATCTCTATTATGTGTCTTCCCCAAAGCATTGTAATAGTCTAGGTTTACGTTTCTGCACTTTATTTTTTCCGTTACTATATTTTCTATATTACTGCTTAGTAACTAGGGTTTGTATGGAAAGATAAAACCAAACGATAGAAAACCCTAACTGCAAAGATAAATAACTGAAAACAACATGTTTGCACGCTCATACCTCTATGGTAACCTCTCTTGTGGCCTTCAGAACAAAACGGTCCTTACGAATAAAATATCATAGTCCCTCGATGATCCTTTTGACGTTGCCTTTCGATAAGTGATCTAGTCCCTTACGAAATTGCTAAAGCATCCTTACTAGTTGCCTTCAATGACCATACGACGACCCTACGCCTGTCCCTTCACATCCAACGATAGGGCTTCCTACTAACCAATGGTACGGATAGCACTATCTAAAGGAGAAGGAAAAGTACAAGAATGACCTTGAGTGGGTAGAACTGTTAATCACTTGCTCACAAATTTCTCAAAAAACAAAACATTTTACACAAACACTTTTAAAGATATTTTCAAAACACTTTGTATGCATTCTTGAGGACCGATACAAGAATCATTACAAAGTTTCGCCTTACATTGGCAAATTTCAAAATATTTTTCAAACACACACAAAAAGCAAGTTTTCAAAGTGAGCTAAGCGATTAAGAGCCCATAGATAACTACAGATGAAAAGGGTGTTAATACCTTCCCTTTTCATAACCTACCCCCCGAACTCAAAATCTTCAAGGTATTTCCTGTTCTTTTCACCCTTTCCTTCTTGGATAAAAGAAAAGTTGGTGGCGACTCTTACTATCCGCACATTTGGATAAAATCAAAAAAGTCAATTCTCCCACTGTATTACAGAACTGGAGCCTCTACTGGGGAAAATAAATTAAAAAGAGAGAGGTTACCTTAGAGTCTTAAATCACTTTTACTTGCTTTTACTTGTCTACTTTGTTTGCTTTAAAATTAAGGGTTACTTGGGTTTAATTTCTTGCAAAGATCCTACACCCGGATCTAGGGTACCCTGGGTAAGTAGCAATAGATCATGGAAACTGTACGGCGTAGACTGATATGGTTGAAGGGATGGCTACGTTAATGTGACACTTTGGTTTATATCGATGTTCCTTGAGTCAGTCGAGGAAAACATTGGGCTGCCGTGTGGTGTGATAAGCACTAATTGACTTTTAGAATCTTAATTGACCCATCTTGGCCATTATAAGGTAGTGAGGTAGCCGACTTTGGTGCAGTTCAAGGTTGGTTGGCACTCGATGCTACACTCATTGAAATTCGACTCGCGAGATGTTTTAGTGGCAAGTTAATTGTTATACTAAAATAAAACCTTCGAGAAAGATCTGCGATATGAGATTCCTAGAACCCGGTTACTATTTTAGGACAGGTTGAGCCAATTGAACTTAAATAGAAAAGGGTACTTAGCTACATACCTTATACAAGCCTTTAAACCTAAGGCCTTTGTGTAATTTGTTTGTATTTGCTATCTTGTTTAAACATGACATCATAACATCATACCATGGCATTTTTCACTAACCCTTTTCAAGGATCTTAGGGACCTGTGATGCAGGTTTATCATGATCCATACTTCTAGCAAGAGGCTAGAGGATTTATTTTCCTCTGGCCAGATGTCGTCAAGATCAAAGTACATCCTCGTGAGTCAAAGGATAGGACCCACTCGATATGGTGAGCTTGATTCTAATAGAAGGACGTCCAAAAATGAAGACTCGAAGTTCCACAAGTCAAAGCTGCAATCAAGATTCCTTCTTAATCTCTTTTACCCTGCAAGATCCTTGAAAACATTACATTTGCATCTACATATCAAGCATCTCATTACATAATAGGTACTTTCTAGACAGGTTTTCTCATCTTCTTGCTGTTTATTTCAGTAAAAGATGGCTCTTGAACAAACCGTCAAAGATCTACAAGCTTAGAACGCTCAATTTCAACAAATGTTCCTGGACTTAGCCAAGGGGCAAGAAGAGATGAAGACCCTCATCACCAAAGAGAGGAAGAAAAAGACTAAGAAACCACTCATCATCCTTAATATGGGTAGAAGATTCAAAGGTCCGGTCAAGAGGGATCTAGATTTTGAGGTCCCGTCAAATGAAGATGATAACCAAGAGGAAGATGATAAGAGTGTGAAAGCCGAGGAGAATAACAACCAAGGTTATGATGAAGAAGAAGCAGACTATTCAGATGAACAGTATCCTCCTGCTAATGACAAATACAAACAGCTGGAAGATCGTCTCAATGCTATGGAGATCCAGAGAGTTCCAGGATTGGATTTTTCATAGCTGGGCTTAGTCCCAGGAGTTGTTATTCCTCACAAATTCAAGGTCCATACTTTTGTGAAGTATGATGGTGTTTCTTGTCCTAAGCTTCATTTAAGGTCTTATGTTCGGAAGATTCAACCCCACACTGTTGATAGGAAGTTATGTGTGCATTTCTTTCAAGAAAGCTTGTTGGGAATGAAGATGTGAAAAACACAAGAAGGGGGGTTGAATTGAAAAACTTGGATCAAAAACAGCTTAATGACACAGTATTTTTATCATGGTTCGTTTGATCTCAAACTACTCCAGTCCACCCGTCAAGGTGATTTCGCCTCTCTCCAACGAGGTCTTAATCCACTAATCTCAAAAGATTACAACAACTACTTTAACAACTGTTAAAGTCTTCTTGAGTACAACCACAAACCGGTTAATCTCAAGGAAATCTTTTACAAATAATTGAACAAGAATGTGTTGTTGTTTTCTAACAAAACAGTTTATCACAATTGTGATAATTACACAGATTAAGCTTAGAATAGAATAAATTTGCTAGAGCTTGAATATGCGTGGTTTTGGAATTCTCTGCAAATTAATGTGTGCG